TAACACCCCTTCCCTAACTGCGCACTTCTTCCTCTCCGTCCTTGCTGCAGATTGAAATGCTAGAACACAAGTACGGGGGCCACCTGGTGTCCCGGCGCGCCGCTTGCACCATCCAAACCGCTTTCCGCCAGTACCAGCTGAGCAAGAATTTCGAGAAGATCCGCAACTCGCTCCTGGAGAGCCGCCTGCCCCGGCGGATCTCCCTGCGCAAAGTGCGTGCGCCGACGGCGGAGAGCCTGGCGGCGGAGAAGGCGCTCATGGAGGGCTATGGCCTCCTGGGACTGCCGCTGGTGCGCTCTCCCTCCCTGCCGCCTACCTTCGCCGGCACGCTCACCGAGCTGGAGGACTCCTTCACGGAGCAGGTGCAGTCCCTCGCCAAGTCCATCGACGACGCCCTCAGCACCTGGAGCCTCAAGACCATGTGCTCCCTGCAGGAGAGCGGGGCTTACCAGATACACCAGGCCCTGCACGCGGGCGCGGGGCCGCCAGGACTGGAGGCAGAAATGCGGGAGACCGAGAATGCCTGTCCGGGACCCGGGGAAGAGGCCGTGGAGTCTGCCGGCCTACCCCAGGGCCACAGCAGCACCCTCATGATGGCTTTCCGGGATGTCACCGTGCAGATCGCCAACCAGAACATCTCTGTCTCCTCCTCCACCGCTCTGTCGGTGGCCAACTGCCTGGGCGCGCAGACTTCCCAGGCCCCAGCAGAGTCCATAGTAGGCCTAGACGAGCAGGGCGAGGCCCGGGGTCAGGAGGCTCTTGCGGCCCCCGCTACGGGCCAGGGCGATGCTCCAGCAGAGACCACGTGCACAGAGGCGGGAGCCGGCGCAGCCCTGCACTCCAACCCGCCTGGGACCGGGGAGGCGGTGGTGGAGGAGGCTGGGGCCGGGAAGGCAGAGGAGGAAGGGGTGGAGGAGGCGGGGGAGGTGGGAAAAGGGGCCGAACCCGAGGCCGGTGACAACTCGGAGCAGCTGAGCAGCAGCAGCACGTCCACCAAGTCTGCCAAGTCGGGCTCGGAAGTCTCAGCCTCCACCTCCAAGGAAGCCCTGCAGGCTATGATCCTGAGCCTGCCGCGCTACCATTGCGAGAACCCGGCCAGCTGCAAGTCGCCCACGCTCTCCACCGACACTCTGCGCAAGCGCCTCTACCGCATCGGCCTCAACCTCTTCAACTTGTAAGTGAGCACTGGCTCCCGAGCTGCCGCGCGTCCTGGGGAGGTCCGGGAGGGAGGGAAGAAGAGGCGGGACCTACATTGATAGGTTAGCAGAGTGCCAGGTAATTTAGCAACATCGTCCCAGTGTCCTCCCAGATGTTGTTTGTGCTGCGCCTTTTCTTGAGATACTGTGTTCAAATACACATTTTAGTTTTAATTGTTATTAATTTATTTTAAGAAGGATGAGGGACAAAATAACATTTCAAACCCAATCTTTCACCACTATTACTGCTTACGATGAAGCTGGGGTTTGAAAAGTGAGAAAATTTAAAAGAAAATATAGCCTTAAGTAAATAATAGTACAGGTAGTATGAAGATTGAGCAGAAATCCATTGTATATGAAGTTAGAGAAACAGCAGTCCTGTGGGGTTGATGAAGAGGAGAAACAGGCAGAGAGCAAAAGAGATGAAGAAAAATGGAGGAGGGACAGGGTGAGACAAAGGGAAGAGACTTACTGTAAGGAGGACAGGTAGAAAGCAGAAGAGGGTTCAGTAAAAGGGGGAAAGGGTGATAGGAAGAAAGTGTGAAGCTAGCAGAGGTAGAATACACAGAGCATAGGAGAATGGAAGGAGAGAAATGGATGACTGCCATAGCCCAGAGCCCCCAACCAGACCTTTCCTTGCAACCAGAATGCATACAACCAGTGGTAAGCAGAGGGCACGCACATGCCCTTCCCAGGGAAATTTCAAGTATATGAGGCACTGATCTCCGCCCTGCAGTCATCCCTGTCTTCATATCCCTGAGCCAGGAAACACAGCATCCCTCCTGCCATGTTATTTGAGTGCCACACACAATAACTACAAAGGTGAGTAAGACACATCTCCTGGTCTCAAGAAGCTTATGTCCTAGGGAGATTAGCTACTGTTCATAAAGCATCTGCAATCTTCAATATTAGAGAGAATATTATTATGCCATTTTACAGAAAAGGAAACAGGCTCACACAAATAAGGTGAGTTGCACACTGTGAAACAGCTAGTAAGCAGCAGACATAGGTGAACCCAAATTTGTCTGACTCCCAATCCACTGCTCTTTCTTTTGCATCAAGCTGCCTTCCTGGTGAGCACAGCCCCAACCTGACACATCCATGACATCACTTTGGCATGCACATGAATGCTCACACATACTCGGATCCCTCAAGACACTGGTTCTCAAACTGTCTACTGGGGAGGACCAGTTTGGGTTTTTACCCAATACACCGTGGGCCGATATTTTTGGAAAATACAATAAAAATGAACTGCTAGAAAAACAATCACATGCTTGGTTGTCCTGAAAATGTCAAAGTGCTGTTGTAAAAGGTTCTAAATGCTTATCCTCTATTTCTGTACTCATCTTCTCTTGGACCAGTAAGAAACAGTTTAGGGACAGCATGAATTTGCAGACCACACTGTGAGCACATTTGCCTTAAGACCCACACCCACACATGGAGACTCTATGTAAAAGAGAAAGCAAATGCCGTAGAGTAAGATTCTTGTGTGGTCACCATTGACAAGGAAAGGGGATTGTGGGGAAGATCTCACCTCTGTTTCTTAATCTCATCCTCTCCAGATTCCGGGGTGGGTATTGCCTATAAACAATAGGTTACAGGCAGGCAGAAAGGACCTTGGGGACCTCTTGGCAGGCCTTAGAGACCTCAGGGTAAGATCCAGTGGGAGTGAGACAGGAAGAGAGAAGGGACACCTCTTCACCTGCTCTGGAATTCACTTTGCTTGGCCAGACTTCCCCTTCCCTGCTTCCTGCCTCACACTATCTTCATCACTGTGTGGGGAAGTTTAAGAGAGTGAGGCTCTGGTGAAAGGTGCTTTCCATAGGAACCCTCTGCAGTAGAAGAAATCCTGCCATTTTCTGGAAATTCTTTCCAAGGCCCTCCAGGCACTTTTATGGGTTCCACGGGATGGAAGAAAGGAAGAAGTCAAGGATGGCATTGGCTCACTCTCTCCTCCTTCTCCCACCTTCACCTGCACCCCCAGAAACCCAGACAAGGGCATCCAGTTCTTGATCTCCCGAGGCTTCATCCCTGACACCCCCATCGGAGTGGCCCATTTCCTGCTCCAGCGTAAAGGCCTCAGCCGGCAGATGATTGGAGAGTTCCTGGGCAACAGCAAGAAGCAGTTCAACCGCGATGTGCTGGAGTGAGTGTCCAGCCCTCCGGGCTCCCCTCCCCCTCTTTCCATTTAACCCTTCCCCCTCAGTCCCAGAATCTCCCAGGAGTGTAGGAACCTCAGTTGGGGAAGGACTCAGGGAAAAGAGAGGGACCTCTGAAATCTTGGCCACTTCCCAGAAATCCTCGCTCCAGTCCTAGCAGCTTCCTGATTGGCCCCAGGAACCAGAATCCCCATGGCTTTTAGCCAGTCTCTGCATCTTGACTAGCCTCCGTTTTCCCTCGAAAGTCATTCATTTATTGAGCACCTGTGCGTGGGGCCCCATTGGTATAGGAATTGTCAAGAGAGACAAAAAGGCCTCCATCTCTGCCACCCTCAGGGGTAAGAGAAGGAGCCTGAAAAAGAAGAGGGCTATGTCAGTGCCGGGGCCGTCTCCACCTGGTGAACAGCCGGCCTCTCCCTGCCACCTGTCCATCCTCCAGACCTTCCATAAGCGTCTGCCTATCCACAACTGCACAAGCTCATTCTCATACTGGTGGAGGCAAACATAAGGCAGAAAGCAGAAGGGGTTAGACTGAGCATTTTAGAGCAAGATAATACTATGATTCCACAAAGATAGATTGACCACCAAAATCATGGCAAAGGAAATTGTTTTAAAGGCTATTAGATAGGGATGCTGAGGCGGCTGCCTTTGCAAATGCTCAGCTTTGCCGGTGTGTACAGGGTAGAGTCTCTTCACACTCACTCCCCATCTGGAGCAGGAGGGCGCAGTGACATTACATGGGGCTGAGGAGCAGGGCCTTGGAGTCACCCCTTCTCTGACATAGAGGAGATGAGGCCCTGGGAAGTCTGCTGCAGGCCTCTTCCACTCCCTTGATGTTCCTTTATTCTTCCACTAGGTCCTCTAGGCTCAGCTGTTCTTGAAGGTCACCATTCTGTAGGGAGCTGCCCCACTTCTCTCCCCCTTTCTCCTTGGGTACAGTCAGCAGAAGTGTTTTCCCAGGGGTCCTGGGAGAAACTCTCCTTTTTGTCCTTGTTCTTGAAGCAGCAAAGGCCTGCTACAGAGAGCAGGGAGCTCCTGATCAAGGGTTTGGAAGTGTGAGAGTCACCCAGCCTAACTGGTCAGGTTGTTGATGTCCCTGGAGTGGAAGCTCGGAGACCTGGCTTCATTTAAGGATCAGTGTCTTTGTTGCTGTTTCTTTGGATAAGTCACTGCCCTTTGGGCCTGCTTCTCCACGCGTAGAGTAGGGATGTGGGATTGTGTGGGATGGAGCAGTTGTTGGAATCCCTGTCACATTCCTAAATTTACTGATAGGGTGGTTGTCTGAGTACAGTCAGCAGAGTAGGGGCTTGGATCCATCTGAGGGACCTTGAAATCCCTGGATGACCCTCAGTTTGCAGAACCCAGTTCCTGCCTCTGACTCTCAGTGGCTTTGGACAATTGCTGTCCCTCCCAGAACTGGTAGTTGAGATGCTCTGAGTGCCTCGCAAAGGAAAGTAAACAAGATAAATGTGCAACTTTTCTCTTTCACCCTCCTTTCTTCTCACCCTGCCTCTGGTTCTTCTTTCTCTTTACCACCACCCCTACCGTGTAGGATGCCCTGAAGAAATGATAGAAAGAGGAGAAAGATCAAGTTTTCCAGGCTCCTTCCTTTCCCTGTTTTTCCTCCATCTGGTTCACCACTGAGGCCTTTTCATTGGCTTTTATCCCCTTTACATTCTGTAGGAGGGTGAGTGGAGGTACTGTACCCTATTGCTTCATTCTTTCAGACTGCTTCACACTCCCTGGGTGACCCTGCTTTGTCTCTGTGCTTTGGGGACAGGGGTGACTGTTTCACTTATAAGCCCTGATTGTCTGCTCTGTTCTCCTCTGCCTCCCCAGTCCCCATGTTGCCTGGCCCTGGAATTCTGACCTGCCAGAGCCACACTGACCTGGCAGGAGTGCTGGGAACACACGGTTTTTCTCCAGCCCAGGTCGTGCTGAGCGGCACAATGAAAACTAATTGCGTCTTCCCTAGGAGACTGAGTGTGTGGGCTGGAGACTCTGGTCAGATGCAGCCTGTGCTGGGAGGGGAGCTAGGCTGGGGATGGAGCTAGTGGATGAGGTAAGGTCAGGCCTCGGATGGGGAGGCAGTGTGGAGGGATAGGAAATGTGGCTAGCTAGACCTGAGAGAAAGGCCCCACCTCTGAACCTGGCTCTGTTCCTAATGTGCTGTGTAGCTTTTGCAAGTCACTTCTCTAGGCCTTAGTTTCCTCATCTGTGAAGCACGAGAGTTGGGCTCTGTGATCTCAGAGGCCACTCCAACTCCTGTAAATCTATCATCTTTCCCATTCCTCAGTGCATTTGTAGCACATTGACATCATGAGAATCATTTGCCCTAAACATGAAGGCCATGCTTTGTCATCCTGCCAGAGCATCCTGCAGAGGCTCCAGGGCGGTGACGGAGTTCATGGGAGAACAAGATGACCATCCATCATTCATTCAGTAAACACTGAGTGCCTTCCATGTGTTGGGAATGGGGCTGAGCTGGCTGTCTTTTGTGTGTATGTGGGATGGGAGGAGAAATAGGCGGGCCTCGTGGCCTCAGGGAACTTACAGGTCCGGATATCAACTGGGAGAGAAGAATGGAGAAGCATAGAAAGGGAGGCTTGGGGGCTGAGGAAGCTCCAGCAGGCATTGTGGGTTTGGGAAGGGCCCAGTACAGAGCTGAGCCCCGAGACTGCCCCCAGTGAATGCCTTGATCCCTTGTGCTTTATTCTGCAGCCATGCAGGCCCTGGGCTCTGAGGTCTGGGTACATTCAGTCTCTGCACACAACAGCTCCACAGAAGGGCACCCTCCTCCCCCAGGTCCGCCAGTTTGCTGACTGCCTGGTTTGTCTCCTGCAAAGTGCCAGGAGAAAGAAGATGGAGAAGCAGGAAGAAACAGGCAGTAGCAGGGGAGCCAGACGCTGGTGGTTTTTGGCATTTTCCTGCCACTCAAACCAACTGTCCTGGAACCTTTCAGGATCTGCCGCTTCCTTACTCCCACCAGAGAAAACACACAATAGCAGAGTCACCAGGTGCCATTTTGCCCAGGCCTGGAAGCCTTCATTGGGATTCTACACGGATTCCCTGCCCCCGCCTGGTGACATTCAGCAAGTCGCATCCGTTCTGTACAAAGCTGTTTGCTGAATAAAAGGGCATAAATCACCCATCCCCTTGGAGACTGAGACAGCCCAAGCCACAGCACTCTCCAAGAAGCAGCCAGACAGGAAGGCGAGAGACCGAAAGCCTCTGAACAGGGAAAGGGGGGACCCCCCAACTCTTGTGCCTGTGGGGGACAGGAAGAGAGGCCGAGCAGAATCCTTTTCAGTGCTGACCAATGTCTGAGCATCTTAGGTGCTGTGACATTTGCCTCCAGAATTAGGCCCTTGGCGCTCTTAGTTAGAAGCTGACCTCTCTATCCCTTTTGTCCTACTTCCATAGAAGACACACTCCAAAAGGAATGTATTCAACCAGGCTTTATTTAAATAATAATAGAAGGCATTCTGAGCTCAAAGGGCCATGTTCATTCCTGTTTACCTGGAAAGGGCTTTTTGTTTTTGTTTTTGTTTTTTTTTAAGAAGACAGCCTCAATTTCCTCATTTATCAAATGGGAATAATAGTACCTACCTCATATGAATTAAATTTTTAAATGCATATAAAGTGCTTAACTCAGCACCTGACACTTAGTACGGTTTAAAAAAAAAATGTTAGCTACTTCTATTATTATTTTTCCCACTTGAAAGCATGAGGCATTAGACACACCACCACCCCCGCCCTGCCCAAGCCAAGGAAACCTCAGACTCTTCAGGTCTGGTTTGAGATAGAGCCTACTCCCCAGACAAGAACTTCTGGACTTCTGGGGAAGGAAAGGAGCTCATTCAGGGACCGTGCAGTACTCTGAGGAAGTCTTCTCAATGCTGAGGAGAGAAGGGTGGTGGCCAGCTCGGTAGCAGGAGCCAAACAGCAGCTAAGATTAAGATCCTTTGGGACTGGAAGCTTCTCCCTCTCAGTTTTCACATGACTGGGAAATTTGGCTCTGCTCTATTTCCTTTCTGAAATGTTCGCTTCAGCAGGTTTGAAGGCCAGTGGATGGGGGAGTGTTCCATGCTGGCTATGAGCAGCCTCTTGTTTGGCCTGGGTAATCTTTCCCAATGTGAATCTCATACATGTGGAGGGCATCGGTATCTGTCATTTCCACAGAAAGCACAAAGGACAGCTTTGGGGTTGAGCTGCCAGAAGAAAGTTTCCTGGGTATTCCTTCTCTCACTGTGTCTACTCCATTCTTTGTTAGATATTAGAGTTTGACATTTTAGTCAGATTTCAATATTTCATTTCCATAGTAATGTGTTGGTCAGAGTGTAACAGATTTGTTCTTCTTAGGGGACATTCAGAAATGAAGACAGATTGTCTGTCACACTCAACAGGCTGGAAAGCTCCGGCCTTTCATTGCTGGGGAGAAATTATTTGAGAACATCCTGCCCATTGTGCCGGGTGTAACCTCAGAACAGTTACTTATTCCTGAGGAATTCCACAAGGAGGAGAAGAGCGCAAGGGCCCAGACAGATCCTTATGGGTCTAGAGGAAGGTGGACATGGGCCTGGGGCAAGAAGGGATAGAGACCTAGGGATTCTTTCTGCTGCTCTGAAAACTTGATGCTGCCACTACCCAGAGGAATGGAAGAAGAGGGTTTCTTCTAAAAGTGATGTCTTGGGGGTTTATGGGCTTGAACTCTTACCTCTCTAGTGCCCTTCCCCCATGCTCAACACCCACTCTCCACCCCACCCCACACACAGATAGAGAAGAGATTTTCTTTAACAGTAAAGTGTCGTGAGTGTTTAGGACCCACTTACCTAAGATCTTGGGACTCCAAGTGTGGGGTGAATTGGTCCAGAGTTGAGATTCCCTTTGGTTTGGTCACATTATCACATGAATTGGGCTTGTACACAAAAATGAACAAATCTACCACCCAATCCTTGTGTGATATTCAGGATGAGCTGAAACTGGC